GTTTAGGCCAGGGTTCGTCTTCGTGTGGACGGGGCCTTAATTAAGTCATGTGCATCAGTTGTCGCCTCAGTTCATCTTCATAAACAGTTGCTTTTCTGTCACATAATCTCTGGCTCTGTGTTTCCCATTGATGGATCTTAGCCTATCACAGCGTGAAAACGACCTGATTGTTTGGGCGCCTTATTAGTTATTATTTCCTCTCCGTCAGAGGCCAGAGCGTGACTATTATTATTTGGGGCTACGTCACTGTGTGGCATGCTGTATGACATTGAGCAAAGGAATGTATCTTGCTTTGTGTGGATCTAATGAGCATGAACAGAACACGGGCCTGAAAGCAGGAGAAGATCAGGACAGCTCAGCAGGTTCTTTTGTCCTTCTTCCTGCTCGGTTGCCAAACGTACTGTAGAGTCTGTGACCAGGACCAGAGATACGTGACACCTTGCAAGTGGCGTACCGTAGGTCAGCCAAAAAAAAAAAAAAATGGTGCTTCATCTACTGTGTTGGTTTTACTATAAAATCCCTAAAGACTCAGGATACAGTCAACCCAAGATATACAGCAGCTAAATAATAAAAACAATAGTTATCAGTTAAGCACAGGAAAAAATCAAAATCTAGACAAGCAATTTTTTCTTAAAATAAGAGCATTTGTTCTTGGATTGAGGAGGTAAAAGATACACTTTGCCAATGGAAATAGACAATTTACACTTAAAATAAGAAAACATAATTGCATTTTCTTATTTCAAGTGCATATTATCTCATTATCTAATTTTAAGAGTAAAAATACTAATTCCATTGGCAAGCTATCTCATTTACCTGCTCAAATTAAGGATAAATACACTTAATTTAAGAAGTTTTTACTTATTTCTAGATCGTTTTTCCAGTGAGCCTCTTATGATAATCTAACATGACAATTTCTATTCACAGCTACAGCAACTTTAACAGTAAATGCTGTTCATAAGGGCGACTTGAGAATATTTTATTTGAACTAACATGTTCAAAAATAGTTAAAAGCTAGAATACAATTCTAAATAAGTTTAAAAAACAATCCACGGGACTTTGTTTCCAAGTTTTGACACGTTTCGCTTCCCATCCAGGAAGCTTGTTCAATTCAAAATGTCAGAAATAGCTTTGAGTTCGAGGCTTCATACGGTGGACCAAAAACAAAGCCTTCTTTTGGCTTAGAAAGCAGGCAAATTGAACCCAATGAACGGGTCACGGCCCTTTGGAATGGGGGTCGTTTCGCTTCTTTGTTAGCCTGCAGTAGCCGATACCTGTCTATGGCTCTGTTCGAAAACCTGGGCTGCATCCTCCAAGGACTCGGTCTACCTAGACTGGATCCTTCGAAGTCCTTGAAAATAAGGAGACCGGAAGAGTTTTGGCTGTGAATTGAACAGGTCTACCCTTCGGCGGGTTTTACCGCCGTATGCTCTGTTGCTTAGCAACCGTGAAAGTTGACACACAAAGCAGGAAAAGAATGAATACCGAGGTTTTCAAAACTGTTTGTTTATTTATTTCTTTTTTATTATAAAGTGAACAAAGACTACACTCACAAGAATCCAGAGTGGAATAAAGATTCCAACCACTGGGAGCAGGAACAAAAAAAATCAAATATAATGATAGAAACCTTAGTCAGTTAAATAACCTGCTGCTGT